AAAAACCTCCTATTATATCTTGTCACATCACTGTGCCAATTCATGTTAATGAAAAATAGTAGCAGTATGAAGCATTTTAACAATTAAAATGATTAACGATATATATCAGTATAAATCCGGGATCATAAATAATCCCACTTGGTCACTTGAGGGTTAAAAAGTTTCAGCAAACTAAATTAACTTGAATGACAGTGGCTGGATTGGCAGTACTGGCAAAATGATGAGGTGCGGGTATTCATACTCAAACATTTTATGACATAATGTAGTGAGAGAAAGATTTTGCAGTTAAAGACAATAGAAATTCCAGGAAACATAAACACACCTTGTGATTTTCAAGAAACTTTAAGGCTGAAAGACTCTCGTCACAGTTGGAAGATTTTGGTCTCAGTTGAATTATCAAAGAAGAAGAAAGAGGTATGTGGGAACTTTTCTGGAAAACCATAACTGGTCTTGTCAGCATCTGGGGGAGGAGCAATGTTCGCACATTTAAAAAAAAAAAAAATTTTAAATGGCTGTTTCGGATTAAATGTTTTGTGATTGTTCACAAAAACAGCTGTGTTGTTCCCTTAGATGTTTCCTCTAGTTAATTGTGTAGGTTGTGACAAATGAAAGAAAATGTGCTGAAAAACTCAGATTCCCATTTGAGTGTTTTTCTATGCCTTTTTGTAAAATATATATTTCTTTGAGTGCCATTGTTGTGTCCCTTTTTTCATATTCTTCAGCGAATGCATTTGATTTGCATGTGAAAGGGCCTATTTTACTATAAAAAAATAAATCAAAAGATACATTACATAAAGTCTCTGCATCTTTTGTTTTGGGTTCACAGCCAGTAAAATGGTTTCCCTGTCCTGACACACTGAGTGTTGTCCTCTTCCTGTTGTCAACACAAGATTTGTGTTTGATTTTGATTGGTGAAAAGCAGGAGGCCCCCACCATCCTATCAGGAGAATTACAGTCACACAAGTTGATATCACCGGCAGGAACAACCGACGAGATTGAAGAGATGTCATTTCAGTTTGTGTCACCCATGACATTTTGTTTGTCGCTTTGGTTTGTCGTTCACTTGGTGAGTTTGTGAGGAGAGAACATGTGAGTCTTTGAGGCCTAGTGTTTCCTCCAAATAGCCCCTGACTCAAAAAGCTTTTATATGAAAATGAATATATCCTCACTCTCTTTTTTCATCAAGTTCAGAGTCTAGAGAATACACAACAAAAAATGGAAAGTAAACAGTGCATTTTTGTTATTTGCTGATATAAAAAGGGTCCCTGGAGAGAGTCGCCTGGGGGAACAAGTGGAGTGCTGCAGCTGGGTGTTCAAACAAGGTCACTGCTACTATGACTGGAATCCCACGAGCAATGTCTGGGACAGGAACTTGTGGCAGCGGGCTATTTTGTCTATAAAGAAACAAACATTAGTGCCCCTAATTGGCTAGATGCACTGACCCTATTTGTATGTCATTTTAAAGAAATTTTACACAGTTTCTCTAAGCGGGCATGAGGTTGCCCTAGTAGCCTACTTTTGGAATTTGTTTTACAAAGTCTATGAATTCACAACCACATGTTTGAATGTGTGCTTCATTTACAAGAAGGGAAGAAGAATGTGCAGTAAAATATAGGCCATCAATATCACAACTGGACAAAAATATGATCAAATATTAATTCTAATAATAAATTAAGAACACAATGTACCCATCTTCTCCCAGCAGAATAAGAAAACATGTACAAAAAGCTCAAATAATCTCAACATGCCACAACTCACTATACGCAATGGCCTCCACAGTCACCAGATCTCAATCAGATAAGCTTTTGGATATGGTGGAATAAAACATTTGCTTCATGGATGTGTAGTTAATGAATCTCCATCACATCAATATTGAACACAATATTTGAGGAATGTTTCCAGCACTTTGTTGAAAGGTACTTCTGAAGTGAACAAAGGGGCTGTACTGTCTATATGATTATAATTACACATCACTAATCAAAATTAAAATCTGGAAAGCTGCACAGCACCTCACGATGAAACCTATAAAGAAAGAAATGATTCATGTTTCCTTTATTACCTACCTGGGGGATATAGCTATCTATTTATCTATAGATAACATAGACAAAAGTCATACATCAGTAGTGGCCAAAGCAGGTGGGTCATTACAGTATATGAGAGATTTAAAAGTGAAATACTGTACATTATATATACAGTGGAGAATTTGCTAAATTTGCTGTCCAGTTTTGGGTGCTATGGGAAAAGGCATGATCTGTAACTCAGGAACAATAGGATGTAGCAAGCGGTTTGGAGATGAAGGAAATAACTGTGCACTCACTTAAATATGAGTGAGGGTTTAATATTTGATGTTATTTAAATGTTTTTGTATTTTTTTACTTTAAGTTTCTGATGCAAAGGATCAAGATAACATTCAAGTCATCTTTAAGCTGACAGAGTAACTGTATGCTCAAACAGCACTGCCAATCCCACGGTCAAAGTGCTGTGTTTTTGAGCAGGTGTATGTTTTTATAATGAAGTATGTAAAAATAATTTCAAGTTAAAATTTGGAAAATTGGAAACAACAATAACTTAAATAATAATTTAACCACTTGATTTAATGTATGCTTGTTTTACCCGACAGTAAATGTTAAATAAAATGGTTAAATAACTTAATACATTCTTAAAAGTCTTTTAATTCTTTTTTTAAATGAAAAAAAGTTCATTTATGGTTCATTTCTAACTTTTGAAGTAAAGCACTGTGTGTGTGTGATCATTTCAAAGGCTGTGGACACAAGTAATGATTAATGGTTTGAGTTAAAAGTATATAAAACAGTGAAATAAAATAAATAAGCTGCTCACTTGGAAAAGATGTTGCTTTCCTGCCAAAAACACACATGTTTCTATTGCTAAATTAAAATACATCTTGCTTGCTTGGAAGTGCAAACAGTGTGGTATTTCTGGTTACAGTGGTTATGGACTGCATTTTTTTTAGCCGTGCGTGTCAGTGCAAATGAACCCACATCAAGATACCATCGGCCATCCTGACAAACTGAACCAACTGCATATAAATGTCGTTTCTTTTGCTTAAAATTCCATTGCCTTTGTTTGTATTGGCAGAATTTAGAAAATGATACCAGTCTATAGTGATTCTATTTATCA